TCGTGGCCGTCTCGCTAGCTTCACCTATACCAAATTTGGTATTACCGGATGTGAATAGATGACGAAGGTATGATACTGGTGCTAACATAATAAACATGAGAGGCGTGTCATGTAACATGACTGCATGCTACGCTCATGATGCGCTCGCGGCCGTTTCGCTAGCTTCAAATGTACCAAACTCGGTATTACGCAACGAGAACGGACGGCATAGGTAAGGGACCCATCTAAACATGATAATCACGACATGCGTGTCATGTAACAACATTACTACATGCCACACTCATGATGCGCTCGTGGCCGTTTCGCTAGCTTGACATATGTCAAATTTGGTATTACGTGACGTCAATGAATGACGAAGGTATGAGACTGGTGCAAACATAATAATCATGAGATGCGCGTCATGTGAGAACATGACTACATGCCACAGTGAAGGCTCCATTACGTTTCGACATGACGCGGTGTGCGTGCTCACCGGCGTTCATTTCGTCGCGTCACGCTGTCGCTGCTATGCCAGGCACCGGTCCTGCTATATACTAGCAGGCGCGCGTCGCGCTGCGTTGCTTTGACGCATGCGCGTTTCAGTGCGTCCGGCGTCCCTCCGTCACGAAAAGAGGGAGACGCAGTGTTGTCTGGGTGAGGCATCGGCGCGAATTACGCGCCGGTTGGCGCCGGGCCGCCCCGGTCGCGCCTAGTGCTTGCATTTTGCTAACGTAGCGTCACTGTGTCCAGCGTGCGCGTGCGTCAACGCTACATCGGAGAGTATAATTAGGCCCTTCATGATGCGCTCGTGGCCGTTTTGCTAGCTCCTTATATACCAAATTTGGTGTTATGGGACGTCACTGGAAGACTAAATATATGACTGGTGCAAACATGATAATCCTGACATGCGTGTCATGTAAGAACATGACAACAATAAATAAATAAAAACAACATACCATGCTAATAGCATGCTCGCAGCCATTTCGCAGGCTCCACATATGCTAAATTTGGTATCACGTGACCTGAATAGATGTGAAAGGTAAACTACAGATCCAAACATGATAATCATGACACGGAAGTCATGTACGGCATCATTTACCTCCACCTCTTAACATTGTGCTGATTTTAAAGTAACATATCAATATTTCTCATCTCTTCTTCGCATAATATCGATTCCCACTGTACGTGAGATCTGCCAATTTTTTTTTACGTATCTTCTTCACCTCTTTTGATGCAGAACTGCTCAAGTGTTTTGTGGCTTTTAACTTCGTTCACGAGGCTTTGTGACGCAATAAATTTTAAAGGGTGCCAGATTCAGATTTTGTAGCGCTTGTATATTTGTCAATGAGGGTATTGAAGAAAAGTCGTTACTGAATACTAAGGGATGTTTGCGAACGACTTAACTTGGGGTTTCCACCAGTTTTTTTTATACGATTATTGAGAGGATCCTTAGGAACACGGAAGAACCTAGATGCGACGCGAATAGAGGGAGTCAAATACTAAACGGCAGTCGGTAATTTCTCTAGTCGCTTTCTTCCCAAGAAGCTCTATATGACATTATCTTGTATGTGCGAACCCCTTTAAACAAGTAAATATATTATATATTAGGTGTAAGTTAATGCTTCAAGTAGCACGACACTCTCGAAGGCAATCGAATGCCTTTTTTGTCGCGTTCTGTCCTCCCACATGCCAGAACTACAAAGGAAAAAAAATCCGCTTTGTCCCCGGGCACGAAACGAACTAAACTTTCGGTGTTTTGTAGCTCGTAGCCTAAAGTCGTTTCTTGTCGTCCTCGTTGCTGTACTGACGCCGGAGCAGCTTAATGCATGGATCTGAAAGATTGGCTGAGCAGAATTCCGCTCCTTTCTGACGGATCACGAAAATATTGATACCAGCAGCGTAATTTTTTTTCCTCGTAAACGCTGTGAGCAATCATCAACTTTTACACATAAATGAGTAGACAATAACTAGCACTTAGTCCTCGAAAAGAGAAAAAAGGAAAGTACTTTTTGTATTATTAGCTACAGAGCCAATACGGAAACAACCACTAGGTTGTGTCTCTTCTTGTTCTTTCTTGTTCTCTCTCTCTCTCTCTCTCTCTCTCTCTCTCTCTCTATATATATATATATATATATATATATATATATATATATATATATATATATATATATATATATATATATATATATAGATCTAACAGACAGTAATGCCAAGGAATGTATAGGGGAAGTTATTAGACAAAATGAAATGCAAATAACAAGAAAGAAAAGTGGGTGAAAAATAACCAGCCGTGAGCAGGAATCGACCCTACGACCTTCGAATAACGCGTTCGATGCTCTAACCACTGAGCTATCACAGCGGCTTTCCCTACATCCACTTTTTTGGGTTTATATATGAATTTAAAAGTAGGAATGTGAGTCAGCGCCATCTATAAGCGAAGCGGCGAGTGTGAAACACCCTTTTATGCGCATGTGTGGCGTCACGTAGCACGTGAACTTATTACGAGCGGGCAGTTGACCAATAGTCCCTCGTATACAACCTAATGACACCAAGTCCGCCAGTACGAGACCCTCGTTAATGAATAAGGGAAAGAAGTGTGTACCTAAGGGCTCGTTTTTTTCCGTGTTTTGACACAATATTAATGAGATCTAACAGACAGTAATGCCAAGGAATGTACAGGGGAAGTTATTAGAACCAATGGAATGTAAATAAGAAGAAAGAAAAGTGGGTGAAAAAATAACCAGCCGTGAGCAGGAATCGAACCTACGACCTTCGAATAACGCGTCCGATGCTCTAACCACTGAGCTATCACAGCGGCCTTCCCTCCATCCACTTTTTTTGTGGTTTTATATGTGAATTTAGAAGTAGGAGTGTCAGTCAGCGCCATCTATAAGCCAAGCGACGACTGTGAAACACTCTTTTACGCGCATGTTTGGCGTCACGTAGCACGTGAACTTATTACGAGCGGGCAGCTGATCAATAGTCCCTCGTATACAACCTAATGACACCAAGTCTGCCAGTACGAGACCCTCGTTAATGAATAAGGGAAAGAAGTATATATATATATATATATATATATATATATATATATATATATATATATATATATATATATATATATATATATATATATATATATATTTTGATTGCTGTTGGCAGTGCTGCCTAATGTAGAGATGCAGTAGAGGATATAAATAAGCTTGGTTATAAGTACAAGGACCGTTCTCGAAACGCCTTTCTCATAAAGCGACGCCTATTATGCAATGCCGCCGCAGATTTCTGCGGAGCTGCGATGCCACATTTCAGTTGGGATGAGCATGACGAGATATTATTATTTATAACAGGCTCATGGTAATCATTGCCTGCTGCGTACAAGACAATATCGTTCAGTACTGTCAAAAGTGCCAAACAATAAACAAAAAGACATGTTCCGTTATGCCAGAAAAGTTCGCTTAAGATTGTTTGATTCAATGAATTGCTCAATAATTGACTCATTGAGTCACCTAAATTGATTGATTCAATAATTAAAATAAATATTTTTTGTATACCTGTGGCATAAACAGTTAATAAATTTAACCTCTCATTTGCCGAAAACTCATAGGAACAGGTGATGCAAAATATAAATGAACAAAGCTGGGTCAGTTCCTTTAGAAGGAAAGTTGACCTGTAAAAAAAAAAGACAAAACATACCAAAAAGGTGCCAAATGCCATCTGGTACACACGCGGAAATTCGGCCCCATATCTGCACGTTACACTGCAAATCTCATCAAAAGACAACATTCTTGAGTCTGGAGAGAGTGAAAAAAACGTTTATTGGATGTTCTGCGCAAGAAAATTGGTGAATGGTTTTCCGGAGGGGCTGCGTTAGAGTGCCTCGAGCGTGCAGCGGAGGCGAACGGGCGCATCAAGTCACGTGACACCTGAGACATGAGCGCTATCTGGCAGTTATCTTGGAGAACGAAGTTCGCGGTTCGTGCACCAGTCTCGGAGGTTATAAGGTGTAGAACGCAAGGCTACGGGTAGGTGCCAGCACCGTGTCGTCTAAGCAAAGCGTTGGAAACACTTGCCTTTTCGTGCAAGCGTTGCATTGTTAACGCAGCGTGATAAACGCTACGTTCCTTAGAATTACCTATGTATGCATTTTCTAGTAAAAGGACACACATACATATTATTGACGTGTTGTTACGGTCACTCACATATTCGCAATAATTGCTTTTTAATTGACAATCGCACAAGTATGAACGTTCAAACTTGAGCAATAATGGTGGGCGCTGCGGGTGGGGTTGGCCCTTTGGAGTGCCATTTGGTGCCATTTGGAGTATCGTTTAGAGCTGAAGTACAGAAAGGTAGGCAGACAGACCACAGTTTTTGTGTCGATGGTCCCCAAGAAAACCTATCGTCTTTAAAAAAGTAGCATAGTACACATTTCCCACGCTGGCTGGGCCATCCGTAAGATTAATGAAAGTGACATTCGCGTAGGAACACAATCACGGGCCCATACATTCCCCAGTACAGCCAATAGCTTGTGAAACCGAGTATATATGTGCTAACTATCCTCTCATTACAATCACATTCATGTGACTAATTCCGTATTTTGCACCTTTTTGTTCCGTTTCAGTCAAAATACATCAGCAGCCATGGTACGTTCCAGACGAACGTGTTTCTTGGCAAAAAAGTGAAATCCCCCCCATGAAGCCAAAGGCAACAGCGTTCACACGAAGAAAACAAGAGCTGCAGTGGATCGTCACAGCAGGAAGTTTTGATTCGTACGTAGCGAGGGTGCAGTAGACCAAACACGCTAGCACAGCAGAAAAAAAAAAACGCCGAGACATTATCTTGGAGGTGCATCTTAAGAAGATACATATATATTCAGCACCAACATATAGCCGAAGAGAACTAGATTTGAGGTCGGCTGAAGCTGATTGGCCTTGGCCTGTTTCACGACGAGCCTCAAGGGCTATGGGGCAGGAGGCAAACGCTGGCTCGAAAACGGCTTCACTTTCGGCGTGTCATCTGAGCTCATGCCTTTCAACAGCGTGGAGAATGAGACGATATCCACGGGAGCGTTTTCCACCGAAGACGTGGTGCTCGGTCCTCGATACGCCAGCACAGTTCGCATCAGCCTCATCGGCGCCATGCTCGTCCTGTCGCTTGTGGGCAACCTGCTGGTCTGCTACAGGCTCCTAACATCCAGGCGCCACCGGCTGCTCAAGGCGCAAGTGCTATTCCTGAACCTGGCCCTGGCCGACCTGCTGGTCACACTGGTTACTATGAACTCGCAGCTGTTGTGGGAGATTACGGGACGCGTGTGGGTCGCCGGCGACGCTACCTGCCGCGTGTTCAAGGTGCTTCAGACGTACGCCCTCGTCTCGTCCACCTACATGTTGGTGGGAATCGCCGTGGACCGTCACTTCGCCATTTGCAACCCACTCGCTCCAGCGCCCAAGCCCCGTTCGGTAGCAGTGGCCTGCTGGCTGCTGTCTCTTATTCCATCTCTGCCAAACCTCTTCGTGTTCCGACTCGTCGCGGTTCGGGACAAACACTACTGTGCCTCACTCTTCTACATATACCGTGACTCCGCCATTGCTCGCCAAGCCTACATGGCTTTCATCTTCGCCTTCGTGTTATCCTGCCGTTGGTGGCGCTCGTGTCGCTTTACACGAGCATTCTACTGCGCATGTGGAAGACGGATTCGAATTCGTCCTCTCCGCGTCCGCCACCGGACGCATCAGTGGGCGCTGCATTTGATGGAGGCTGCTGTGTTGTAGACGGCGCCAGGAGCACGATGCCGAAGGCTCGCCTGTGGACGCTCAAGATGGCCGTGGTGATATTCGTGGCGTTTCTCGTGACCAATCTTCCGTACATGGTGCAGGAGATGCTGCTAGCATTCGCGCGAAATGTCCAGCTTGGACCGAACCTGGTCGCCGTTTTCGGCGTAATATCAGCCCTGAATAGCGCCGTTAACCCGTACGTGTACCTGGCCTTCAACGGCGGTGCAGGGGTCGCGTGGTGTGACGCCAACGTGTGTGGCCTGTGGCACCGATTGACGTCTTTTTCGACCTCCAAGCGGACAGTCGCGGTAACATACCGCGGTCCTTGGTCGGCGGCTCAGTCACGTCGTCGACGGCGGTGTCTGACGAGAAAAGCTGGGCCGCCAGCTCCCGAAAAATGCGAGAGTTGCGAAAAACAGCGAAAGGTTGAGAATGAGCCATAAGAAGTCCCTGCAGGTGTTGAAGGTTACTGAGTCAGAGCTGAACCTGTACTTACAGCCGTGTGGGTTTTTCGACAGAGGAAAAGCGAATAATGGTGTCATGCCTGACGAGTGGAGTAAATAGAAGCATGTGTTTAGAAAATATACTGTTAGGAACACAATGACTGAAATGAAATATCATTTTATATATGAGTCTAGTTGAAAACTTCATTTTGTTAGTGGCGCATACAGTGAAGCACTGCTTTATCTCTATACTTATTGCGACGTCTTCTAAAATACACATAAAACGTAGAAGATGCTCATGCATGCAGTCACTTACCAATTTGAATGAAATATGTGGCAATATAGAGGAAACGATAGAGCGAAAATTGACTAAGAATATGATAGCTGTAATGGGAAGTATGAGCGCAGCTCTACATGTGCTTTCATATGAAAGTATTTCAAGGCAAATAGTTTGAGAGAGGCAAGCATGTACAATCAGCATAAAAAAATTAGAACCATAAATCCCCCCCACACACACACTCACACACACACACACACACACACACACACACACACACCACACACACACACACACACACACCACACACACACACACACACACACACACACACACACACACCACGCACGCACACACACACACACACACGCACGCACACACACACACACACACACACACACACACACACACAAAGCTGAATATTACAATGGATTCGGCAGGCAACCCTGAATTTGAATTCCGAGCATCTTTTAGAGCGCTAACAACATGTACTGTGCAGTTCGACTGAGATCGCGAGCGCTGAAAATAGACGACATTATAAGCAGGGATGAGCGCTCAAGAACTGCACTCTAAAATAGTTCATACGGTGATCGTAGAAGCATAATCTAGATTAGAGACTCGGCATTGCAGCCTGAAAATATGCGAACATAAAAAAAACTAAAACAGTAGAAGCATGAAGTTCACATGCTCGTAACCATGCACGGAAAGCAAAAAAAACGAAAGAAAGAGAGAGAGAGAAAAGATTGATTCAAACAAACATTGTCTAACATAAGAAACAATTTCTATTAACACATGCTAAACAATGAATAATAACTAACATACAAAAGAAGCGGATATCGTCGTCCCGCTATGTCCGTTGAAGCATCTAGAGCGCGTGAAATCAATTTCTTATGTTGCACTTCATGTGGATAAGCGGGTTTTCTAACTCATCTCCACAGGCTCGAAATTCGAAGTTGCCTTTGCTACACTTATGTTTTGTGCTTTGTTAGGTGTGGCTGAGGAAGTGGTGACACCGTTATTCCGCCCAGAGACGCTGAGTTGTGAGCTCTAATGTTTCGATTTTCTTTAGACTTTGCACTTGCCGATAACTTTTAGGAAAAAGTAAATGTACTTACAGTCTGTACATGTTAACCTTCTCATTAGCTGGATAAAGCTAATTCATTAGGTTACAGGTATCGCTGACAAAAACCACATCTATATTCTCTTGTATTCAGATAGCGAGCCCTTCAAGATAATCTTCTTTCATAGGCCTTGAACGTGCCCTTTACGGGTGCGGTAGGAGGCTTAGTGGCCAATATTTTGAAACCAAAGATCTTGAATTAGTCCAGTGTTCAGTGCAGATATAGATTGTGTATGTGGTTTCGAAGAATTATGAAGCACCTCTGCACGTAGATGCAAGTGAAACCTTTGAGGTCAACCAGACTCCAGCGTAGTCATACGTTCTATTTTATGTTCTTGTTGGCAGAAATAGGTCAAGAAAAGTCGACGCTTCGGTGGGTATAGGCGCAAAATGAACATAATCGATAGATACCCCATCAACAATCTTAACAGGCCATGACGGCTAGCAATTTCCGCATGGTTGCTACGATGTGGTTTGGGGCAGCTTTGATGCTTGTGTACTGCAGATAATAATATGGGGTGTTACTGCTTTACCACACCGCTACTAAGGCTCACAATGTACTGGGCGTCGACGGAACGTTAGTGTACTTTGGAGGAGGGCTGTTTTCCGGTTATCTTCTGGTAAAAGCTTGTGAGGAGAACTTAGTGCCTGTGTAAATGCTTGATCGTTGGCAGCTCAGGTGCAAAATAACATTCGTCGCTGTAGAATAAACCACTGTACCCATTTTGATAGCAGATTTAAGAACCTGTTATACGATCTATGCCAACGTGCGGTACAACAAATGCCATGGCTAAGCTTGCTTTGTTGCAACCACAAACGCGAGAAAGATGGTACTTTGTAGAAAGCGTAGGGCCGTCATCTCTGTGGGTCAAGAGGCGAAAGGAACTGTGTCAAAGCAGAGTGTCAGCTCTCCGAAGTGTCAGCTCTCCGAAATGGCTTGCCGCCGACGCATATCTCGACGAGTATTCTCCGTTCGCAGTGTGTTCGCGTGGTTTAAGCGAACGCTTACTTATTCATTCGTGATGCGGACTTCCTTCAATTTGAATGGCCACGTGTGCATATTGCTTCGTGTTTACCCAAATTAAATTACTTGATGATGATAATTGTTGGGGTTTAACGTCTTAAAACTGTAAAAAGATTACGAGAGAGGCCGTAGTGGAAAGCTCCCGAAAGTTCGACCGCACGTCCAGGTGTTCTCAAATGCGCACCTGAATCTAAGCAGATGTGAAAATTATTCTGTAACTGTAAATATTTTGTGGAGGATGATTTGCAATACAATTAAATTTATTATTTACCTTTAGCAGTCATGCACTGTTACCCTGAAGCGAAAATTTACTCACTGCTTGGCCATTTTCCTGTCCTGGGTATGAGGTTAAAGACTAGAAGGAAATTGCTCACTGCTACATGATCAAGACTGAACCGGCTGCTCTTCCTAAGAGTGACGATGCAGGCGATGCTTCGGATCGCGATGCACGGATCGCTGTTGTAGGCAAAGATTCTGATGTTATCAGTATTTGCGCTGTTGCGTACAGTAAAAGGGACAAAAACAGATACTCGTTGCTGGCTGTGATTCGTGTAGCTCGAAGGACATCGGTCTTGTGAACAAACATTCAAACCGGGTTATCAAAGCAGCTATTCTTGCAAGAAAGAGCTGGCGTGACCGCACACTTACCCGCTGCGGACAGGAGCGGCCAGACACAGCAACGTATGCCGCGCGAATACCTCCCATACCACATCGGGAAGCACCAGCTCCCATACTGCACAGGAATCGCGAATTTCTCGGAAGGTCCAGAGTTAAACGATTTTGTTTCAATTATTGGTCTCAGAGCCGCCAGAGCACCCTAATGTAGAACTGTAAACTGTTCAATAGATCTGCTGCATATTTTCGTCCAAGAATCAATGTACAGTGACGTCTTGTAGGCTTGACTAAATAAGAGAACGGTGGTGTCACGCTTAACGTGTTTATATTCACTCATGCAAAAGTATATTTTCATGCATATATCTCATAATAATGTGCTCCGTGTTATTCTTTTTTAAAGATAACGTATGAAGCTTGACTTGCAAGCCTTAAATAGAGGTAGTGATAAACATACAGAAACGCCTACAGAAATCAAACTAAACCCGTTCGATGCGACATTGTCGTCACCCTATGATATAGTGTCTGACATATTATATATATGGAGACGCTCCACCGGCGTGCTGTGACGAAGCATGACTTGCAAGCCTTAAATAGAGGTAGTGATAAACACACAGAAACGGTTACAGAAGGCAAAAGCAAGTCATAACACTTAGCTTGAATAATTGACTTGCTTAAGAGCAAGTGATTTCATCTGCTTCAAATAAAGCCACAGATATATAAGAGCATGGTAGTCGGGCCACATGTAATTTGAAGCGTCGCCACTCTCATACTGGGAATATAGGACGATCTGTGTGAGATAGACATCTGCATGTCTTAGTATGTAGGCAAAAGCGTCATGCATATATATATATATATATATATATATATATATATATATATATATATAGGTGGTCGCATGTTGTGCGAATGGATACATATGGTCATACGCACGTATTCTGCTAGATGGAGCACATAGATTGTAGTCTTTCGTTGTGCGTGTGATTTATGAAATTGCTTGAGTGTATTATCCCTGCGTGCTCTATCGGCGATAACTTGGAATTACAGGCTGCTACAGAATAATAATAATAATAATAATAATAATAATAATAATAATAATAATAATAATAATAATAATAATAATAATAATAATAATAATAATAATAATAATAATAATAATAATAATGTTGTGACACCTAACCACTTCGCGGGAGACAGGTGACATCGACGCAGTGGCAGGTGCTTCTAATGCACGTATAAATGTTATATGTCTCCTTCAGGTGAACCTAAATCTCTGGATTTCCTTTCCTTTGGCTGGAACGCCACCACAGACAGCTGCACCTTAGGTGCACTGCCTTGAATCAGACATTGTAATGTAGGAAATAAACAAAACCCACTTAAAAGCATAGGTAGATGATGTACACCCATGCTCACACTTATTCATCTACACGCCATTGCAAGGTAAATATTCTTGTCAGATAGAGCAGATTCGCTTTGCTCTTAGTAGGAGCAAATCAGCACGGATAAAGTTACAGAGGAGCC